CTAAAACAATACAGATTTTTACCATATATAGTGTGTAAAATCATGTTTTGTAGCTTAATGTAAAACAAAAACTTTATCAGTAAATCCTCTTCTGATATTGCTACATCTTACTGCCTGCCCAAACTATTCCTGTAAAACCTATTTAAATGCTGCTTGATAGAGATACTGTATGTTTGGCAGAGAAGCTTTTTACTCTCAGCAAGCAGAAATGTGTTTTTGTGTAATGTATCGGGAAAATATTCTGCATACAGCAAATGCAGGTAAGTCTCATATTATACAGGATAAAAAGTTGAATCAGTGTGCACTGCTGCATCCTTCGCCAAAAGAAGTGTTGCAATTGGTTGTTGACCTTGCTAATAGCTGAGAACTGAATTTGATTCTTCCTGTAGCTACTCTCTTCCACAGAGTCAAGCATATTGTGAAGAAGTAGATTTGCAAATGGATTACATTCTTTTTGTTACAATGCACTGGGTGGTTTTAGTTTTACTTGTTGCGTGGTTCCATGCAGTAACAAAACCTGCAGATCCTCTGACACTCCTGTCATTGGATATGAAAGATCTGAAGTAGGAATCTTATAAAGATGTATTCTTATTGTGCTTTTAGTATTCCCAGATTTCACTACTATTAATATTCCTTAAAAGGGAAAGCAATATAGAAGCCATATCTGGAAAGCCATACATATGTTCATCTGATGTTGGCTTCATGGGTAACCACACCACATCTTTTCACAGATCTGCTTTCCACCTGATAAATGAGAACAAGGAGGCCAGTCTCCTTTAACATTGTGCACAGGGACTTGCTGATGCAAATCTCATATCTTTTAGCTTCAGTTAATTTAGTTAATTTAGCAAAGCAAAAAATATGGGACGACATAATTTCTATTTTCCTATTACAAGGCTGCCAATAGTCATGGCAAGCGACAAAGAGGAGAGTGGATCTGACTCTCCTGTTTCTGTGAAACTCCCGACCCACCTATGTGGACAGAGGTGTTTTATGGAGCTTTGCTTGTTCATGGCCTTCCCTGGTCCTTAAGAAAAGGAAAACTTGTTTCTTTGCATCTTGGCAAAAGTAGGAAATACTCAGTGTTTTGCTTGTTTACTGAGTCCCACTGCAAACAGATTAATAGCTGAAGTCTAATTCATCACCTCAGACCACATTAAAAGTGCTATACAATCATGTCATTTAATGATGTCTTTTATGGTCACAATAAGATAGTTATAATGAGAGACTTAAACTTTCATGTTTCTTAATTAAAGACATTTTCTAAACTAGTTGTAACCTGCATTTGGTCTTATGATGCCTCCCAGAATAACAATGATCTACCAGTTAATACGTAAGGGCTCGTGACTGATTGTTGCTCCTCTTCTTCTGCATATTAAGTAGTTTCATTAATTAATATTCAGCTTGCTTGCTTCTTGCACACAGGACATCATCTTTGCACTAGGTTCCCAGTAGACAAAAGAATAATTGTAGTTTAAATGAAAAGCTTTAGAGATCCCTTTGAGTGAGGTGTTAAGATTACAAATATGAAAAAAGAGTTCAGGGGCTAAAGAAATTGAAGAGTCTCTTTATTGCAACAAAAATGTGGCTTTAACTGGTTTGGTTTGAAAAGTCAAGCTGCCTATTATCTATAAGAATAACTTAGATGTATTGTTTGGAGGCTTATTAGGATAGAAACTGCAACCAACTGTTTAAAATCTACACCTTCAGGTATTTCAGCACATCTACGTTCCCACTCTTTCCACTTTTTTTTTCCAGAATAACGTTATATTTTTAGGACTGGTTTTGACATAGATCTCTCATTGTGTTACTTACTTGATGCACACTCATATGAATTCTGATTTAACTGGTTTCCAGTTTGCACAAATGAGATCAAAGTTTCCAATTCAAATCTGTATCTTAATGAGCTGAAGACTAAAATGCTGTACACGACGACTTCTGTGGCTTTCAACTAACAGTGTTGCCAGGATGAACTATCAGATGGCAAAAGCAGTTTAGCTTGATAACTCCACAGAAATCCTGAAAATCAGAAAACACAGCAGCTCATTACGGTGCTACAGTTAATATTGAGTGCAAGTATGTCTTTATTTTGGAAACATTGATTCTACAGACATTTTCTTTAATGAATGTCATTAATTGCTACAGAAATAACATTCTAATGCTATCCAGTGTTGCAAGTAAAAATTATAAGTAAATATGATTTTGTGTGTGTGTGAGAGAAACTAACCCACAGTATACATGTATTTATCCTATATTCAGAAATCCTCAAACTACTAGAGAATTCATCACCACATCCCTACATTGTGGTCTGACCCTATTTTCAGTCTCTTATAAAAGCAAATAAAAATACATACATTACAAAATTCACCCCACCAGACACTTAAAGTTTAGGTGCCTGCGCAGCCTACAAAGCAGATCTGTTCTGCAGCTGCACATTAGTTTATTTTTAAGGTAGCTCCCTTGTCATGGGATCAGGAATTATTTTGTTGTTCATTTGCTTGTGCCTTTTTTTTTTTTTTCCTTTTTTCTTTTTCTAACAATAAGTCTCCCTTTGGGATATGTCACTTGAAGCTTGTGTTTGTCATGCTCCTGGTGCAGGGGGAAAAAACACACACTAAATTCAATCTTTAAATTAAGCTGTAACCAAGCTTGTATATTCATTAGAGGAGAAAAATTCTCTTCTGAGAAGTTCAAATTGTTTATTGATTTTCATTTCTGTGTTCAAGTGAAGCTTGAGTAAGTCTGTCTCGCTGCAGTCCCTCTGGGGCAACACTGCCAACAAGTGCATCACATTTCAACCCAAGTGAGCAGTTAGCAACAAAAATCTGAGAATTCCTTTAATATTAATAAACAGTTAGAGGGTGAGATTTCCAGTTCAATATAGCTGATTCTTTTGCAAAGGGAATAACAGGCTTGAATTGCAGGCTATAAATGACAATCTTCTTGAAGAGCCTTAAAGTAAAATCAGGTGAGTGGAAAGCGCAATTAGTAGCATGCTGTTCGGGGAGTGGGAGGAGGGGGCAAATATGGAGAAAAGGGGCTGCTGCTACATTCTTCTAAATTTTTATAATATCATACTGACCTGATTCTGTTCAACTGTAATCACCTTATGAGTCTCTTGGCAAGGATCAAAACACACACAATAGTAGTTACAGACACTTAATATCTCTCTTTTTAGTCTCTTCTTAAGAATGTGTTAAAACAAACAAACAACTTAAGGAAGAGAGCAACTGTTAACTGCTTAGAGGAGCCTAGAGCCTGCCTTGGAGGTGGGCTGAGTGACTGAGTCTTGGGTTTTGTAGTACTGCTGTCTCTTGCAAACCATTTAAATATTGCACTGCCTAGTAACATGTGCAGACCTATTAGTCTTCAGTTTCTCAAGGTTGATTTCAATTAAGAAATCTAATTAAATGAATTTGAGTTTATTAAACACATTGCCAGATTTTCACCAGGATGGAGTTTTTTTACCCCTTTCCTCTCCAAGTTTGTATGTAGGTAGGAAGAGGGTTTTCTTCCAAATAAGACAAGTTTTACATGTTCTAGTGTCGTCACTGGTTAGGAACACTCGGTCAACAATGTGCAATGAGACAGTAAAGATAATTCTAGCTTCTCTTCCTAAAGATAAACAAGAAAGCACCATTTCAAGCCAAACAGAGAAACATATTAACCCAAATACATAGAAGATCCCCTCTCGTATAGACTAGTCATAGGGCAAAATTGTCAATAAAACACTTGAAAATATTCCGCATAGAAATTACCAGCCAGGTCCTTGAATAATTCAGGAGTTAGTAGATGATGTAGGAAACAAGATTAAAAGTGGGGGAAATAATCTATTATCTGGGCATCTATTACACTGTGCAGGAAAGAAAGGGAAAGACTGGAGCTTCTCTTTGAGTAAGGTATCATAAGTATCATTGGGCATCTATTTCATCATCATTCCTGCAGGCAGTTTGATTAATGAAAAACTGGAAAAAAATCCAGCTTTATCCTCCCCTCTTAATTCAACTTGTTATAAAACTCTTTCTCTGACATTGTTACATCTGCTTTGATTGGTTCCCTCCGCTGTTGCCTTGCACAACATGCCTCAGCCCACCCAGCTTTGGGCTGCCTAAACTGCAACTAGGGCTCATACTCCTGTGGTTATCCACCGCTTCTCTTCCCTCTCCCACTTCCCGTCATAGGCTGTGTGTATAAGTGGAGCCTGTGAAGCAACCCTTGACCACTGTAACAAACAGGTCAGCACGGAGGGAATTAAGAGACTGTTTTAAAATATGGTCTGTGTGTTCAAAGTTACATAATTTCAGAGCATTCTGTGCCTTTTTTTTTTTTCCTCCTGAGATTCATGTTGCATGTAGAATGTGAGGGTGTGAAACATTCATTTCAAATGGGTGTTGATTAAAACATAATGGGAAAGTCATCTATTTCTGAAAGCTCTATTTTGGACAAGATTTACTAAAAAAAATTAAAATAAGATTCTAAAACTTGCTCTGAAGATTAATTTTTTTTAAGAAGGGAATTTTGAAAATGCCTGAGTGATGACTTAATTACTGAATGATTTTAAGTGCCAAGTGATGTCTTTTAATTCCATTTAATTTTTTCAGCTAAATTATTTAGGCACTTTTCAAAACCCTTAACTCCCCATTGTTAATGTATAAGCCAGAAGAAAAAGCAGCTGGGCTGTTAGTACCGACAAAGTGCTAAACAGCCCATTCCCATGGAGACAGAGGCTCAGATTACAAGTGGAAGGAGATTCCCTCCTTCCCTTTATCCCAATCCTCCCTTTTACCCCAGCAGACAGACTTTGGCTGCCCATTGTCTTAAGGTTCTGTCTAGCTCCAACGGGGTTATTTCTTCATCTGCTATCTTTGTTTCTTATTGACCTTGTGCTTAATTCTTTCCCATTGCTCTTTTCATGGATTAAATGAGGAAAAGACACGGCCTGCTCTTGCTGGTGGTGCTATAACTACTGCTGACTATGGTGAGGTTTATCTCTATTTAATCTTTGGAGCTGTTCTATTATATAAATATATACATATATGTGTGCGCATAAATGTTTCTTGGAACAGACTGTTGAAAATGCATCTCCTACAGCGGAAGTATTTGTCAGAATATTTGTTAAAATGAAGAGCTGTGTATACACAAGAGATAAGCTGGGCTAATAGTTAGGTGCTTATGGCTTCCAACCAGCTTTGCCAAGGACCTCAGCTGGGTCTTGCATGTTCCAGAAAATATTCCATATGTGGAATGTGAACAGCTCTGAAATAGCAAAACTACAACTGCAGGAGCTGAAAAGGGAAAGGGAATGTTGGTTCCCTCATCAGCCATTTGGGAACTTAAAAATTCCTTCAGTTAAAATGTTATCCATAACATTTATAGGTCACCATGTATTCTTATGGTGGTAGCATCTCGCTTTCCAGTTCAAAACAAACTGCATTCTGCTGGAGAATTTCCACAATAGGGCCACTTAGTGTCACAATGACAGACTGATCAAATGAATCAAATCCAAAAGTGAAGGAAAGATAGACCTGAAATGAGACTTTGTGTGCGTCCTCTATCTAGCAGGCAAAATAAAAAGTGTCACTGAGAAGCTGCTGGTTGCTAAATGTCATTGCTTTAACTGTGTTGGTTATAATACACTGGGCTCTGTGTTTCTCTGATCCTTCTATAAATTGTCTGTGCTTTGATGTTTCTGACTTACTCTAGATCATTCAGGTCTCTTGTTGCATCTCTTTGTTAATCTGCTGTAAATACTGATGTCTGAATTTAAAATAACACTATATGAACAAAGACTCCAATAACACTGCTGCTTGTATGCACATAGGTTTTGAAAGTCCATGCACAACGATGCAGTATTGCAAAGTTCACCAAGCCTGAGATGCCCTGAAGACACAAAATTCACCAAAGGGTTTTAAGAGAATTATGAGCTGGAAAGAATAATCTGGATTGTAATCTCCATACACTTCCTTAATTTTAATCTGCCTGTCTTGCTTAATTTTTCTCATGGAACAAAATGTTGAGTGACATTTTGGACTCTTTTGGTTTGCCACACACCAGAATTAGTCTGACAAGCTAGCATATAGCTGAAGGAAAAAATAGAATTTCTTGAAATGGCAGGGTTGTTTCGGTGGTGGATTGCCTGTTTAAAGGAGTTCATCCAACGTAGGAGGTAGAATATCATAGAATTGTTTGAGTTGGGAGGGACCTTAAAGCTCATCCAGTTCCAGGTCCCCCTGCCACGGGTGGTGACACCTCACACCAGAGCAGGTTGCTCCAAGTCCCGTCCAACCTGGCTTTGAACACTGCCAGGAATGGGGCAGCCACAGCTTCTTCTGGGCAACCTGTGCCAGCGCCTCAGCACCCTCACAGTAAATAAATCCTTCCTTTAATCTAAATCTACCCTCCTTCATCTTAAGGCCTTTCACTTAATCCAAGGATTGATTCAACCACATTAGTTGCATGCATGGTGGTTGCCAAACTGTTTTTCTTTACATAAATGAAAATATTTATAGAAGTTACTTCTTTTCCCCTTGAGTCCTACAGAGAAAAATGCTATCTCCATCCACTGCGAGCAATGGCTTAGGTCCCACCAGCCCATCACACTCTGTGGTGACTCTTGGTGAAAGTGTGGTCTTCCTCACAGGTCTCTGTCTCCTGCTCTTCCCTTAAAAGCCATTGGCTGCCATTAACTGGACACTTCCAAATACCTCCAAATTCCTACAGCATCTGGTCCATCAGCCAAATGCCATAGATGCTAATTTGTGCTGGAGAGAACCCCAAATCCAAGTATTACTGCTTAAGGACAAATTTTAGGTTTTTTCCTTCTTTCATTGTACTTGTTCCTTATGTTATGCTTTTTGGCCACGTAACACTTAACTGCTCCGAGTAACCTAGAGATGTGCAAAACACATCAACCTTCACTCCATAGCACTTTGTTGCATGTTGTCAATCAACTAGATGCATGACTAGTGAGCAATATATAAGACATCTGGGTTTTTCTGTTGAATTGTGTGTTAAAAAATATCTAGGTTCCTGTTGTTTCATCTTGTTCTGATTTTAGATGAATAACAAATGGATTTTGATTATTTAGTGTAACATAAAGTTTGCACTTTCATGTTGAAGGGAAATATTTGTGTGACCATGTCTTCTCCAGGATAGTGGTCTTTTGAAAGACCTTATTGAAAGACAGAAGACAAAAGGGGGAAGGAGGAAGATTCTGCTAAAAGGTCCTCTCTGTATTTCAGTAACTGGTTTCCAGATCCCCATTTTCAAAGAGCATCAGCTCTCTTTTATCAGCTATTACTCCTTTTTCAGGGCTTTCACATGCAGATGTTGGTTTGTGGGGTTCTGTAAGTTCATTCTCTTAGAATATTTAATGTCTTCTCCAATGTTCCCTTCAATGTATTGTCATCTGTCCTAGTAAAGTTGCATGCTTATCTTTACTCACCCTCCTCATCATCCTTGAATGTGTACATGATGGTGATACTATCAAAGCAGTTTTTCTTTGGTGCAAAGCAAAGCACTGCACAATTCCCCATCTGCTGCCTGGTGTGTGAGGGCTTAATTGTCATTAAAGAGATCTGATTTATTTTCCAGAAATCAGTTTTCATAATAGTCTGACAGCCAAAAATCCATTTCATCACACCCGGAAAGCTCTTGGGCCTAATACTTGCTTATTTCCATGAAATATCCCTGATTTACACCTAAAGAAGTGAGAGGAATCAGAATACCAGTGTGTAATGTCTTTAATATTGGGAAGGTACCAGGCATCTAGTTTCATCAATCCAATTCTGCCAGGCAACTACCTTAGAAGGAACTTTAAAAAAATATATGATTCTTGGAATCAAAGTCACCTTAGATCAGATGAAACAGGCAAGGACATAAATTTTAAGTTAATGTTTTGCAAAGAAGCTTGTTTAGTCACTTAGTATCAGAGGCTTCTACTTACTCTGGATATAAGTTTTTCAATCTTTCAGTCAGTTCATACATTACTACTTCTATTAGTACAAAAATCTGCCATATGTTTTTACAGTGAGCATGTTAATCTGAACACTGACCTTCACAGCATTGTCACTGGCTATGCTCAAAGCTGACTTTGTGGGAAGCTTTTTCATTGGTGTTGTCAAAAACCTTCAATAATTAAAGTTACTATCACACATGTACATTTTTTTCCCCTTTTCTTGTAATAAAAGAAGTCTCCTCTAGAGCAAACAAAAAGAGAAAAAATTAATTGATCTGACACTTGAGCTGAGAAGACATACTTTAAGGAATACCACTTAAAGGAAAAGGAAGTTTGGAGTCTCAAATAATTAAAATGAGAATTTGTCCAAGCAAATGAAGGTATTATCTTTCAATATACTACTCTTTGTAGACTTGTGATGTCTTTCCATATACCTTAGATTGCTGGACCTTATTTCTAAAGCAGCAGGATTAAGCTCAGAGTACCTTTTTCAATGACAAAGGCAACAAAAATACAATTAAAATATGCAGTTTTATTCAGGATGTGTGTGGTGTAAAGAACTTTATTTCCACTTCAGCCTGCACATGCTTGTTTGTTTCATGCTGTAAATCTTCTGTAGATTTGGATGCTATACAGGGAATTTCTCATCTACATCTTCAAAGTTAGGTTGCCAATTACCAATTCCTCAATCCTGATACAGCTGTTCTATGAAAGCAGCCACAACATTGCCTAAGGAAATTATATGAACATGGGAGAATATATTCCAATAAATTAGTAAACACTTAAGAAAATGCTGGAGGGGGAGAAAACACACAAAACCAAAAGCACCCTCTGCTTTGGTAATGAATTAATAACTAATGAAAGGATTAAACCATCGTTCTTCAAGCTTTTTTTTGAGTATTCTCTTTTAGCCGAACTGGTAGCACTTCTCATTCAGAAAATGAAGATCCTAAGATACAGAGGTTGAGATAATATGTGCTATCTGTGTACAAGTCATGTTGTTCTAGCAGTTATTCTTACATAGAAGATACGTACATTCTTGTTTATTTTAGTGGTTTGAAGTCCTTAGTGTCCAGCGGGCAGCAGAGCATATTTCAAGGCCTCCAAAACTTTTTATAAAGGCAGAATAAGTCAACAATATTTTACTACTTTTTTTTTTTTTAATCTAAGCTTGCATTTTTTTGAGTACTATAAAATCCCTTGGGATTTTTTGCCAATAAGAAACTACAGGATAAAGTCTTTAGCAGAGTATCTATCATCTATCATAACCTGTGTTTATCTTTGCTCACAAGTTCCTTTGCAAGCAATGAAGAAGCCATAACAATATACTTTAACAATAGTGAATATCATCTGTGATTATATAAATGAATAAGACAGGTTAGGCATATGAAACAAGATCACTCCATCAGTTTGTGGTGTTCCCATAAAAGGAATGGAGAAGGCAAACATTTGTAGGAGGGGAAGTTTCACCCTCAGAATAAATATGTTTGGTGGAGAGAAACAAGTGTGAGGAGATGTGCACACCTGATACTGAAGAAAAGCCCGTTCAGGCTTAATACACTGGAGAAACTGTTCAAAAGCTGCTCAGCTCATCCATGTTAAAAAATATTACCCCCATAATCCTGCCAAGGACAGTGAGACCTATTGTAGTTGACTGAATAAACACTGGTCATTCGAGTTTAAGTGTCATAGGAGCAGCAGCAATTTATGCACCTGATTTTTCTAGCACATCCAAAACATTTCTTTTCAAAAAGCAAGCCAGGTTCTTGGACAACATAACTTGGTATGGCTAACTAAAGCAAATGGCTCCATTCCAGGCTTTCTGAGCTGTTTGTCTTGCCCACTGTGCATCACGTTGCCTATTCACATGAGTTGTTCACTTTTAATTTTGCCTGAGATTCTGGCATGGTTCTGTCTGCCGGTTTTCACAATCATGGCAGAGATTTGTTTCATTTTGAATAAGACTGGATTAAAAAAGTACTAGTCTAAACTTACATGAAAAGCTGCAATGCGTAAGAGGGTCACCAAGGGCAGGACAGAGCCCTTAGTCTGGACAGGATTTATTGTGATTAGGCAAGCTTTAGGCCAGTCACCATCATTATCAGGAATTTTGTGGGTCAGGAACCAAAAAGAGATTGACCATATGGATGTGAACCTAATGGATTTGTATTTTAATAAACAGGGCAGGCTGACGTAAAAACAAACTTTATTGTTGTTGTTGTAAAAAAAGTACAAAGAAACCTCGTGATAAAGTATCTCGTGTTGGCTCATAAGGCTCAGCAAAACAAGAGGAGTCATAAAAAATGCATGTTGGGTTGCAGAGGTGGAAAGGTGATTCTGGCTGAAAAGGCATCAAACCAAGAGCCAGCATGTCAGGTCTATGTCAGTACATCCACAAGAGTTGTGTGGGAGAGCTGAGCCCAGCAATGATGGGTCCCAGCTGTAAAACCTGCCTGTCTAGGACTGTGGAAAATGTGTGCGTGACATTGCTTTTGCAAACTCTCTACTAATCTGATACTGGTTAGTCCCGGCCCTGAAAGCCACCAGATTAAGAAAGCAGCATTAGAGTGCTTCTGCTGCTCCTCTATGCACTCTGGGTATCAGCACCTAACCCTGTATAATGAATCATCTGCACTATAACAGCAATGGCAGTTTAAATGAACCCTGTTCACAACTGCTTCCCTCATTGCCTCACTTAAGCCTATCCAACTATTTTTTGGGGTCACACTGTAAACCATATAAAGAAAAAGATATACTTTTAAAATCAAAATCTTTTACTTTGATTATTTGTTGTTTCCACAGAGCAGAGGGTTGAATCGGTTCAGACAAGAAGGTATATGGAAAAGGAGTAAGTGATGCAAGAGGACTGAAAAATCTCTTTGTCACCAAAGAAAGTAGAGTCTGCATCCAGAATTATTAACCCAGCAAATACCTGCCACCTGCGGCTATACTGGACCAGGGCAAGCAAGGTTAGGTCTGTCACAGATGTGAGAGAGATGCAAGGAGCTAATAAAGCCAAGAGCAATAGTTTCTTTCTCCTTCTGTTTCTGAAGATGAGAGGTGAAGGCTCAGCACTTTGCCTTGTGCCTTTTCATTTTGCCCTCTTTTGTTTATGACCCTTCCCTTTTCTTTAAGGCTGATGACTCCAGCAGAAAGAAAGGGGTGCTTTTACTCTCATAACCACCAACTGCTTTGCTGTAATAGGAAAGCATTAATACACAAAAGATCAATTCCATACAGAAACTGGGGAGACACAGTTTACTCCCCATAGTTTTCCAATCAAATAAATGTGAGAGCATCCACTTATCTAGTCAACCAAACACGGAAAGTTTTCAGAACCTATATAACTGTTAGTGATGACAAAAAGGTTTCACATTATCTACCTCATCCACATTTCCTCAAAGATCAATATAGCTGAGCACGTCTTCTGCATACTTCTGTAAGGAGACAAATATAAAACTTAGTTGCTTCAAATGTATTTAGGAACCAGTCTTTAAATGGAAAAGAAGGTGAAAAAATCTTAAAAAATATCAATACAGTGTTAGAATTGCATTATTTGAAACAAGGATGAATGCGATAGTGCAAAGTCAAAAGGATTTACTCAGCAACTTTCCAGAGGTGATAAATGATCTTTGTTAAAACATGGTTGGCACTATGCATTTTATTAACATGTAAAGTGTTTCAATTTGGTAATTTGAAAATGTCAACGCTGAAATTCCTCAAATGGCTTTGCAGTGAGGGGAGGGAATATTAAAGCCTCATACGAGCTTCACATTGCTAACTTCAGGCAAGTTCAAGCCTCTTGAAGAGCCATAACTACTTAGCAGAATTGGGATTTCAATGGGTTGCAGTACGATTTCTGCTGATACCCTGCAAGGTGGATTGGTAGAGGTTTAGGACTGGAACTTCTACAGTCTTTGTTTAAAAGCTCTTTTGAGCTCAGGCAAAGTATCTGGTGGCAGAGGAACAGACCTCAAAATAAATAGATTTGGAAGCTTCAGGTGCCACTCATCTCTCTGGAAATGTATCTCTTGTTTCCTGGGTCTTAGCTCTTCCTTCTGCACACAGGGATAGTAATCCATCCCTACCACACTGTGGGTTCTGTGAGCTAGTTGATACCTGTGATTTATTATAGTAGAACAGTAGATACTGCTTTTAGTTCCTGTGCAGTCCTGCACTTCTCCATCTGTTACACAGTGCTAGTTTCTCTTTTTTCTTCCTCATATTTAATGATTCTTGGGCCTATGTTCATTCACTGCTTTCAAGCTCTTTGTTATAACCTTGATTTGTATTATGAAGCATCTTCTTAGTCTTGCAGTGTTCAGCCCCCACTGAAGAGTTTAAAAGGTGTGCTACACCTAAGCTAGGTTAACTACTGTATCCTCCATGACACACAGCTCAGTTCTGGTTTGGCCAAGTAGAGAGTTTGGGGCACACTAAAGTCTGTAGGACAGCAAGAAAGCCTGGCCCACAGAGAGGAACCAAAACTATGCCATGACGTGTTTTGGTTTTCTCATGAGTAAGCACATGAAGTTGCTCCATTGAAAAATCCTTGGTCATTCTTCCCAGGTTACCAAAATAGTGTGGGAGTGCCTTCTAACCTCTGAAATAAATTAATTACTTGAAATAAGATGTGCAGCAACATGGATCTTTAAGAATTTAATGTGTCATTCTTCAAGTTACAAGATGTGTGGCCTCTATATTTATGGATGCCCCACTTTTATGATAACGGAGTGATGAGTTAAAAGAGTAAAATATTGTCTATTAACAGAAGAAAATAATTCTTTAGCTATAGGGCCTTTATCTTCATGGCATGGTATGAAAATAACCAATAATATTATTCCTTTATCTTAGAAAGTGAGTTTCAGTAATGCCAAATGAGGTGTTGGACCCATTTCTGTCCCTCTCTGGTTTATTTTGGTTTTTACAGGTTAAATGTGTCTTACTCCAGGGATAATCCCGTTCTGTACTGTAAACAACAGTGGAGTAACTGACTCCTTATCTTAGTTGTACAACATCTAGCACTACTGTAGTAAAAACAGTTAGTAACTGTAGCATGCATTCTCAGGAACACTCATGCAGTCCAGAACTTCTCAACAAAGAGTGAAATATTAAATCTGAAACTTTTTAATCAACTTTGACTCATTAAAGCAGAAACCCTTCATGACAAGTGAATATAGAGTACACTTGAATATACAGAAGATGTTTGAAACGTTTCAGAACTGAGAGCTATCATGGGTTTGCCGTTGCTTTTCATTTCAGTTTGTGAATTCATAGTTACAGAGAACTGAAGAAGAAAGAAAAACTTGGAAAAGAATTTAGAATTATCTAAATGAAACTCTATCACCTGACCAACATGTTTTAAGGGACTGGGGATGTCCTTAGCTCAAGAAATCACTCTTTGTTTTTGATTTATTCCTCATAGGTCTTTTTAAGCTGTATATGTGCAGCATGAAGAACTGTAGTAAAATAAGGCCTCAGCTGAAGTGAGCATACAATATATTGATTTTTAAGAAGAAATCTTTTGATTCTTTTTTTTTTCTTCTAAGGAAATGCACTGTTAAGCTTAGTTAAAAGGGAGAGAGGCAAACCAAGGCCTGGGTTGTCTTTAATGCAGCTTTCTGAAGGTGGCTTTATAAAACTGGAAAGCAAAAGCCATTTTAAAGTGATTTGCAAGAAGAGTATATACCTCTATAGAGAAACCTTCATTTGGGTCATTTGGGTTTCTCTCTTTTCCCTGGAAGCAGCTAGTCAAAACTGTCTGTATGCAACAGAAAGATAAAAATTTCAATTAGGTTGAGTGCTGTCATAAGCAGACTACATGAGAAGGTTTGAGATAATATGCATTACATATTGATGTCTATCAGCCCTGAGAACATAGCCATGTTTTATTCCATGCCCCTTTTGTAGGTTTGGCAGCAGTGGCACCCAATAAAGGCCTAATCATATTAATTTATGCCCTTATCAATTATGCATTCAGATTCCCCCGATAGCTTGTCAGTTTTTATTCACTATTTTCTGAAAAATACGCCTATTACAGTTACTGAGCAAATAGGAGGACTGTCAGAAACTGAGATTTAAAGAATATTACTTAAAAGGGGTGGGTTTCTTTAATTTATAAATCTTGTATTATATGTCATGCATTTGTTAGTTTTAAAAGAGGTGACTGCAGGGACAGATGTCACATTAAGGACTTTCTGAAAACAAGGGGAGAAGTCTCCTAAAGAAAGCTCGGTGTTTTATTCAACTTTTCTTGAAAGCAAAGTATCCTGTGGTCTGTAGATGTAGTAAAAACGTATTAGCTTTTTTAGTTTAATGTGAATTTGAGTTTGTGTCTCTCAAATGATGTGTGCCAATGAAGAACTTAACAAAAGTCTTTTCAGCTTGTAAACTGATTTCTGTATGGAAAACAGTATTGTAGCCAGCAGTGTGTTAGTGTCTCTATGCTCTACATTTAGTGCCCATCTTTGGGGTCACCATAAGTGGCAACAGGACAGATAAATGAATGTAGTGTGTGAAGTACATAAGTTGCCCAGTGCAGCAATATCTACAAGGGAGCTGTTGCGTAGTCCGTGCTAGCAACTTAAAAATTACTTTGATGTCTCCGTGGCAAGTCCAGCCTAGCTTATTCAAACATACTATACAGTTTGAATGGGCCTGTAAGAGTGCTTTGTTTAGGGGTAGACAAGCTCTTTGGATGCAAAACTCCCAGATTTCCCCACTTACCACCCTTTGGTTTGCATTGCTGGCCAGTCTCGGAGATGACAGTCAGAACTCATACATGTGGGACTAACCTGGGCAATACAAACTGCAGGGCAAGGCAACGTTTTCCAACCTACCATCAGATGAGATGATGGTAGAGCTGGCCTAGAGACAGGGCAGACTGTTAGTCCTTTCCTGTCAAACCAGTAAAAAGGACTGAGGTTTATCCCCAGAAGGAGGTCCTGTCTGGATCATAGCCCACTCAAAGCCAGACCACTTGACTTGTTTTCTCAGGTTTACTATAATGCCAAAAGAAATATATGTAATGAAACAAAACAAACAAACAAAAACCACCAAAACGCAAACAGATCTGTGTTCTAATTGTTCCCATCCTTGTCTCTTGGTACTTGAAACCTGACAGCTCTTCTCTCACCAGCTCCCTGCCACTAACCACTGCTCAAGAAAGTCCCTCTTTTCCACCTGCTGCCTGCATCTCCCTCACTCCAAGAACATGTCCTCCTCTTTCTCATTCACTTTCAGCCTCTCCTACTTCTAGAGCAGTTAACTCAATTTCACATCCTATTATAACACTATGCTGCCAGGCTTTCCCTCACCCTTCTTTTAAGAGTGTGTTTTTTCACTAAGGGTCTAAGTGTGGAAAAATACTTTAGAAAAGGCCAAAAAAAAAAAAAAAAGGAAAAGAAGGAACAAAACCTCAGAAGTGCTAATGCTGGCAGGCCCAGAGTCTTCAGCAAAGGTCTGAAGCCTCTCACTTCTGTCCTCGCTGCAGATGAGCTCGATGTAGCCAATGTACAATGGGCTCCCTACCCAGCCCCTGTCTTCAGAGGGTTTTCCCAGGACTACTTCTCCCCTGCTAGAAAGTTCAGCAGGATAAGCATCATCCTTTTAGTGTGATCCAGTCCAGGGGAGCCCCCAGAGCACATCATGATATTCTGCAGAAGGCCATCTCCCGTTCCTGACAAGAAAGGAAGGTCTGAATGAAGGGAACCTTATTTTACATTTGTGTTTTCCCATTATATAGGAAATACAAACCCTCAGGACTCACCAAAATCCTCTCTAGCTTCAATACAGGTGGGTAACTGAGGCCTAAAGATTTTGTTTTTTTTCACCTACCCCTGAGCACATGTCGCTTTTCAGCTCTGCCCGACCACTTCAGTAATCAATGAAGGCTGAACTCTTGCCTATTAAGCAAATTTGTTGTTCCTCCTTTACAAATTCACCCACCCTTGCAAAGTACTCCAGCTTCACAATGGGTTGTACCTTCCCTTTCCTCTGCCTCTTTGAAGATGTTGCTCTTTGTTCAGTGAATTTGCCCAACTCCAGGAACATGTACAACATCACCTAAATCATTCCAGTGTTTATATTAGCCTGATGGTGTTAATGAGGTTTTGCTACGTTACAGCATTTAAAATCTTTATAGTATCTTAAACATATTGTACTTTAAAATATCCCCTTTGGGTATGTAAGTATTATCCAAATCATATAAATGGAGAAGTAAAAACAAATGTTTAGGTATTTGCCTAAAGTCATGCAATAAGTCAGTGTCAGAGCTAAGAGTTAAACCCACCTATTTGTGATGAGTCAGCCCATGCTTGCATGATTTGGTGTGTTCCTACTATGGAAATCAGCCTATTCATTGCACATAGTACTCATTTCAATAATTTCATAAACTGGCTCTAGGAGTTGCCTTCCCTTTAATAGTAACTTTACCAGAAATGCTTTTGCTTGCCTAGCTCAATGTTTTTCATATACAGGGAGGGGAGACCTTGTAACAGTCTTCCAATACCTAAAGGGGGCCTACGGGAAATCTGGAGAGGGACTTTGTACAAGGGCATGCAGTGACAGGACAAGGAGGAATGGTTTGAATTGAAAGAGGGGAGATCAAGATTAGATATGGGGAAGAAATTCTTCCCTGTAAGGGTGCTGAGGCACTGGCACAGGTTGCCCAGAGAAGCTGTGGCTGCCCCATCCCTGGCAGTGTTCAAGGCCAGGTTGGAGGGGGCTTGGAGCAACCTGGTCTCATGGAAGGTGTTCCTGCCCATGGCAGGAGATTGGAACTAGGTGATATTTAAGGTCCCTTCCAATCCAAACCATTCTATGATCTACATAGGGAGTAGCATATGGAATGTAAAGCTTGCATAGTAGCTGGTTTTTACTGTGTTTTGTTTGGGGTTTTCCTTAAAAAGGACAGAAATTAAGTGGAAGAAGAGATGACTGTCTTCCTAAAGTGCTGGGAAGATTTCCTGTGCCTGCCCTTGAAATTAAAAAGACTCTGGACAGCCATTTACCTTATGGGGCTGAGGAGTTCACCTCCATAATTTTTTCTTCTCTACTTTTTAAGGGTTCGGTAAGACTTTTAGGGAAGGAAGTGTGCATGTGAAAGGGAGAAGAACATACAGGTAGCAAATATATTTGAGAACAATTATGCTGGGAGTAGGTAATCCAGAAAGTGATGAAATGGTGAAGTGACAAGACCTGGCCTGAACATCTAAAACTCTGAAGATATTTGGCAGGGAAAATTAGAACAATTAAAGAGTGCCTCTGGGAAGCTTTACCTTGCATGACCAGAACTTCAACACAACATCTTGGTGTACTTGGTGCTTTTACAGGGGTAATACTCATATGAATATGAATGGGTTTGCCAGTATCTAAGTCATCTGCAGGATTTTAGTCTGCACTTGGTTTGGGTGCGTTTCTGTATCACCTTTTGTTTCCTGAGTTCTTGCAGTGATGTGCAGTTCTGTCTGACCCTCTGCTACTGCCTCAGCTCCCCTTTTGCAGTATTTTGGGGTTGCTTTAGTGGAGTGAAGGATCCTCTCTTCCACATTTGCTTTCTCAAACTTTGTCATTTAAAACTGAACTGCCTGGGGGCTATTGGTTGGTGTTTAATAATGTCCTGAAAGCTCTCTCTTCATCATTACAGTAGCTTTTTATACTTCAGTATATGAAGTTCTTAAGCGTTTCCCTTGACCAGCAGCCTAAGGATTATAGAATAGCACACACTAAAACAAAAAACTGGTACGTCTTTAAAATTCCAGAGTCAAAGGCCCAGAAAATGCTGCTGGATTTTGCTGAGATATACTTTCCCCCTTCCTAAAAAAAAAAATGTAAATCCAAGCAGTAGCATAAAAGGGCCTAGGAAAAGTAGAAATTTACTCAGCCAATGAACGAATTAATCTGTTTGGAAAACGAAGCTAATAATAACAAACTTAGGAGACAAAGATAAAATGCAATTCTTAGATAGGGAAAAAAGAAACACTGAGACCTCTTCAGATAGCTTCTCTTCACTGAGCAGTAATCCATAGCAGGGAAAGGAGCTTATTTGAGAGGCATCTAAAGAAATGCATGGTGAGAAAGCAAAGCAATAACGTCTCTGCATGTGTTTTTAGAGAGTTGGGACAGTATTATTCTTTTTTCATACATCCCATCACCTAAACAGTTCAGGCACTAGGCACCAGTAAAATCAGAGATACTGATGTGTGATACTGCAGTGATTGATCATTTTGGCTTATTTTAAGCTCACACCTTAAGAAGAAAAGCATCTGAGGAGGGGTTTAGAGACTGCAAACTTCAGGTTGGAAACTCATTTCGTCTTTGTTTCTGGCTGATGTGCACCTCCACACATCATAGAATCATAGAAGAGCTTGGGTTGGAAGGAACTTTCAAAGCTCATCTAGTCCAACCCGTCTGCAGTAAGCAGGGGCATCTTCAACTAGATCAGGTTGCTCGGAACGTGCTGGCAGTCAGCTGGTTTTCCACATCTCTTTTGGTTTTACGTGATCATATGAGTGCCTGACAAGCAGAATCATCAACATATTTACAATTGATTGCTTTTTCTATTGCAAAAATGGTGTTTTTTAAAAATGGAGATGAAGATGAAAAGATCTATTTCTAGTCCACTTTCCATCCCTTTGAAAAATAAAAGCAATAATTAGGGGGGAGGCAGGAATGGGAGTTCCTCTGCACAGGTTTTGTCTGACAGGAAAGAACAAACATGGGTACTGCCATGCTGTTATTGTCTAAATTGTTAATTTCATA